TCCAGCCCGCAGGCCGGCAGTTTGACATGCCTGCCTTAAAGCAATAATTAGTAAGTAAAAACTCAAGATATTTTGGGCATATCATGTAAGTAAGTAGATGATGAATCAAATATATATATATATATATAGAGAGAGAGAGAGAGAAACAACAACCAAGGAAAATTCAAAAGGAAGACAACCTACAAAGTGGATGAAGACAATCAAGGAGTTAATTAGAATAATCTTGACAGAACTTTGTCGGTCATTAAAAGATAAGATGGTGAGTAGTTACCAATATAGTTGCTATACTTAAAGCCCAACTTAATCACACTCAGTGGACTATGGTATTACCATTTTGGCAGATAGGGTGAAAGCAAGTCTCTTTATTCTGACCAGCAAAATAAAGCTTTGAAGTTTGTGCCAATTCATTCCCAAAGAAGTTCATATTGGATTCACTGAGTCATTTTGGCAAGATGGGCAGCACAGAAGTTTAATAATGAATAAAATATAAATATCTTCAATACTTAAGACACAGCATTGGAATTCCTGGTTTTACATGCATAATAGAGAACAGAATGTATTACATGGCAAGTCAAGAAATAGGGAAGAAGAGAACTAAGCAATAGAGAAGCAAGAAATCTTAGTATGTTTGCTTTTATGTTACAACTATAGCTTTTTAAATTGAATACTTAATGCTGTCAAAATAATTGAAGCATAATCTACATAAGTAGAAAATAATTTAAAAAATGAATGGTGAATCACACTATTTTTTTAAAAAAATATGCTTCAATATTGATAATATTGATAAAAGTAGTGTGCCACTGATATTAATCAACATTTTATTTTCTTTTGTTTATGTTTTGTTATGTTTATGGTGTTCTATAAAGATTAAAAACTAAAAAATAATTGGGATTTAAACTAAATTGTAATCAGAACCACATCTAATGAAAGGATAGCCTTAATCATATTTTCAATTTGTTTAATATCTCCTTACTTACTTCATTCATCTCAATCATATGCCGCTTTATGTTTATTCTAGTGGTAACATTCAGGCTATACAAAATCCCATCAAAAGTTTTTTAAGAGTTTTTAAATTTGGAACATAAACACCTATTTGGTTACTGCTGAGGGATCTTTAGCATCAGTCATAAAGAGCCATATACAACAGAATTCACAAAGGAAGGGGAAAGGAAATGAGTATTAGGAAAGAGAAGGGTGGATGCAAGGCAATAGTTCTTTCTTGATCATCATCAGAAATATCAGATTTACACTAGTCTGCCAAAAGTCAGAGAAACAACTGACTGAACGAATGAGAAATATGAGAAGCATGGTAAAATAGAACAATATTGAGAATACTTTCTGAAGGCACAAGAACTTAAACTTCATTCCCAATTCAGCATTTGGGCACAGTCATACATGCCTAGATAAAGCATTCAACAACCAGTGAAGCATAAATGCCAGCCAGACTTCGATGCAACAGACTGTGGCATCTGTGGCCATTGCATCAGTGGCCATTTTCTTCTATAATTTACTGTATGCTACTGTTGTTGTTGATTTTCTTTTCTTTTGGTAGTGGTGCTAAGTGGGGTTAGTGTTTTATGCTTGGACACCAGTTATTGTGTACACTGCCCAGAGTCACCTGTATGACATGGGTAATAAGGTAAGGTAAGGTAAGACAGGACGAGGTGAGGTGAGGTGAGGTGAGATGAGATACCTTTTATTGTCATTTTTACTGTGGGGACATTGGCACATATAAATCATAACATAAGTAAAAACAGAAATATGTATGTCACTTGCACAATTTACATTGCTTATGTACTGATGACATACTCTTTGATTTATCAGATATTCATGAATAGTCCTTCACTAATTAATCTATTACAAGATTTCACTGAGTATCTTATCTTAGTAAAACTGTATTCAGTAAGTCTTACCTTAAGCATAGGGCTCCAGTTTCGTACTTCAACATTTGTGTTTAAACTATGGTTCTGCAGGTAATGTTGAATTTTATTTCCCATAAATACTTTAAAGAAATGGGAAGGATGATCTAAAAACTTTTAAAAAGCCAACGTTTCTCTACACAACCAAATACATTTACCTGGAGAAAATCCCACTGAAGTCAGCAAAACATAGGTATGAGAAGACACTCACAAAATCCTCTGTTCCTTGTTGCTCAAGGCAGTCAATTTTCATTTTGCTATGGTTTTATTATTTGCAATCTACAAAGATTTGAATTTAATCTTTCACTCTCTTTTTCAAAAACCCCACAAAAATTTCCCAAAACACAGACTGAAATCATTTGGCTCAATAAATGAGTCAGTTAACTGTTTCTATCATATTTAATCTATCTTAAAATAATTTTGTTCCCTATTTTATCCTAAAATGAAAGTAAGCATGCTTAGCTACATATAAAAAGAAACAAACAATGACAAGAGTAGCAGTATAAATCTTACAGAATAACTGTGTTCAAAAAACAGTTTTGAAATGCTTTTTTGGTAAAATATATGTAAGCATATGACAGGGAAAGAGTATGCATAAATACTGGTTTGTTGTGCCAAAAAGTTGATAGAAATCTAGCCAATTTTTTTTTTAACTCGAAAGTCCAATTTTAGCTTTCCAAAACATATTTAGAACCTAAACAAGTGGTATGTGTTTTCCCCTCTCAATACCATTATGTACCATTGACGTCAGTGGGAAGTATATGACAATCAGGTTTTTTTTTAATAGCTAAGAGAACTAAATTGAACATCACCGTCTAAATTTCTGTTTCATGGAATTAAGAAAAACATTTCCTCTGAAGCTGTATCTTAATTTAAACACACATACACACAAAATAAAAACATCAAGGAAGCATTTTCAACCACAATTCACAATCACCCAAGATATATCAAAAATTAAAATATTAGAACTTTCATTTAAATAGAAGAAATTCTTTGCATTTTCTTTTTTTCAATGTTTTCCTAAGCTGGCCTTGTTAAAATATATTATAACCCTGCCTAAGATATAAAAGCTGCCATTCATCTTTAAAGCTTACCATATTTAAATAATTAATTTTTGCCTCCTAGTGGGCCATTTCAATTGAAAAAGGGGAAACTGTATGTAAAGCAAATCATCTCACATTAAGATGATTATATCCTCTCTTTCATTTCTTGGTGTACATTAAACATTTTCTCAAGGCATCAAACTTTATGTTTACTTTCTAGTTGTATGAGTTCCCAGTTTCTTTGTTTGGGCAAAAATGCCCATTCTCCTTCCCTTCCAACAATGAGCAATACATTTTTCAAACTAGAAAACACCAAAGTATCTGATATCATATTAACTTATTTATATGTGATACAGTAATTCGCATAGTAGCTTAGTTGTTTGTTACTGACTCTTTTAGATAAACATCTCATTAACAAGTATAATTTTATTATATAAAATGAAAGACGATTTGGCATAATTCCTCTTTCTCCCAAAAAATAATGGATAGGTCAATTTCAACAAATCTTTGAAAATGGAACATGCCTATACTTTTTCATATAAAAGTAAGGCAGAATGAGGGAAATAACTAGGAACCATAAATTGCAAAGCAATCTTGGTATGTGAGCCTAGAAAAAGAAAACAAGCAAAACCCTTCTTCTCTTTAGGAGAATTCTGTGGCCATACAAATTTAATCAAAACTGGGGGGGGGGGGCAAAGCCTTGAAAAGAGAGGAGGAGGAGGAGGAGGAGGAGGAAGAGGAGAAGAAGAACAACTAGTAGTAGTAGTAGTAAATTGCAATCGAAAATAAAGTTATTCTATTTGGAAATCAACATTAGCTATCAGATAAGAGTTCTACACCATGTTCATATCATATGGTGTTTAATTTACAGACTGCTGAACAATATGGGACATTATGCTATGATTTGGAAGGGCAAGTAGACCTTATAATCATACCTTTCACTAGATTTATGTGTGTGTGTGTGTATGTGTGTGTGTTATGTTGGTTTCTCTTAAACAGCTCCATGGTAGAAACCTTGGATTCCTATTATCTGCCTTGCAACAGCTTGCTGTTTGCTGCCATTTCTATGCTTCCTAGACGCAAGCAGAATCTTATCTTCCTATTCCTCCCTGAAATAATATAGCCCTGCTCCGCATGGTATCCCTACTTCTCTGAGAACTTCACCCTGTCAAATCTAGAACTCTGAACCCATATTCTGAACTCATATTCTATAATCCAGCTCTATCAACACCACTAAACCCCCACTGAAGATCTGATGAAGGTTGGCTTGGACATCATCCAAATGTAAGAGTTTTATCTTACTATATAAATAAATATAAACTGGCTGACAGACCAGAGACTGCTTTGCAGTTTATGGTTCCTGGCTAATTCTCTCATTCTGGCTTATTTTTCTATAAAAATACAGCTACTGTCATTGGCTACATTTTTGCATTTTTGGGATCATAACATGGTTATTTCCAAGATGTGTATATACATTACTTAGCTAAAGGATGAAAAGATATGAGATTAAATCTGTTCTATATGGGTTTCATGTCTATAAGGACCTGAATCCGTGACTCATTATGCCCCTTTACTTTCAAGCTTTTCAGAAAGTCCACAAGACCAATTTATTTACACAAGTCTGCCCTAAGGTCTTCAATTCTATTGTATGAGTTACACACTGGAAAGTTTATTGGTGTTTTAAAAAAATACAGTGTCTCCTTTTGTGAAAGTAAAGTGTCTTGCAAAGGCTCTGGCCTTCCAGACAGAAAAAGATCAAAATAAAATAAAAATCTAGACACAGATAGCAATATGAATAATTTTTTGCATCTGATAATACCACCGGACATCCTTGGATTAGGGCTGCATCACCCCAATGCTCCACAACATGGCCTTTATTTGGACTATGCCTAAATTGTCATCTCTGTTATATAAAGGGGATGGGTGATGGGGTAAACACCTGACTCACTCTAGACCAGACTCACCACATGAATGCGGAAGATGTTAAGAAATTCACATGTGCTCTCATACACAAACATGCCCACACACAGACTTTTACCTGTAGTGTCGAGAAATGTCCTCCTCTACCTGAGTGACAAAGTCACATTTGGTACACGAGTGTTCTTTGCTTTCTTTGACAGTCAGTGGTCCATCCCCCCCTTGCAGGGTATTTGCTTCTTGCTTGACTTCAGACACCTGGGCTTCGTGTGTGGTTTCATAGTGAAGCAGGAGAACGTCTACATCAGGGGTGGAGAAAGAGCACTGGTGACACTGATGCTTGACTCTGGTGCCTCCTGGCATCCCAGGGGACAAGTGCAAGAGCAAGAGAGCACAATGGGAACAATTACTTTTCCTGCAAGCAAAAGGATAAGTAATTTCTCCAAGGTGCTTTTCTGGACTACAGAGGCCTCGGGGACAAAACTGACAGTGCTTAATAGTACATTTATGAATGTTGTGTAGCTGCTGATAATGACGAAGAAGAGGTCCCACCACTATTACATTTGGGCCATGGCTCTTTGAGTACCTAAAATCACAAAACTGACAATTGTAGCTTGTCACCACGTGGTCCTCCACTCCTGAGCTGGAAAAGTCTTTCTTTTTGGCCATGCTAGAGCCCTTCTCGCTCTTTGTTGCTAACTCTTCATCTGCATTTTTGGTTACGTCATTGTGATTAATGACTGACCCCCTTGAGAGCTTGTCATTCCGATCTGGGTGAGGGCCCCCTGCCTGGTTCCCCCCATGGTGCTTGCTGTAATGTTCTAATAGTTTGAGAGAGCTGGAGGATTCACAACTAAAGCTGCAGAATTTGCACCAGTAGTAACTGGAGGCATCCGTACCGTTTTGTCTTGAGGATTCAAGGGGCTTGATGGGCACCGAATAGCCAACTGGAGTGTCATCTCCACATCTGATGGTGATCTTGTCCTGCCACTTCCCCAAATCTCCCATCTCACCCGATCGAACAGTAGGACTGGACTTGTTCGAGTTTCTGTCTGTGGCTTTGCTGCCTTCAGAGACAGGAAGGGAGGCCTTGATCTTGTTCGGATGGGTCTGCAAGAAGTGCTGTTCCAACTCAGTTGAAGAATTGCCCATGTAGGTGAAATTGCAGAACTTGCAGCGGAAATATTTGGTGTTCCCTTGGCAATCTGGAGTTTTGCGTCCAATGCCAATAAAGGTCCCACCTAAGGTTACCTGCAGAACATGAAAAGGAAAACAATTTCTGTAAGTGGTGTAGGACTTCCTGTTCCTTATATACAGGGATATAAAACAAAATAATAATAAAAAAGTTGGAATATTAATCTGGGAAACGGAACAATAGCAGCTTTTCTCTTTCAGTCTCCAAATAAATCCTTATCGTTTAAGAGGCAAATTCTTAAACTTTGTAGAGAGTAAAAGAGTTTCAGAAGAAGAAACCAATCTTAAGGAAAACTCAAATATAAATACTGTCTTCCCGCAAGTGCTTCAGCTAACGAGGGGGAGGGGGAAGAAAGAAAGGAGGAATTAATGATATTGAAGCATAGTAATTTCTGGAAGTTCAGAACAACTAAAAAAAAGCATAACTATAAGAAATGGAGAATGTTAGTAGTCGACAAGATACATACCTAAAAAGGTAACCAGTAAAGGAAATTTTAAAAAAATCAAGAGCTTTAAGATTATTTGCAGGTGGCAAAAGACTACATATGAAACCGGAAGAATCATAGTTCATATTTTCCTTTCTTCCTAAATAAGAAATATCAGTGCTGAACCTTCGTTCCTTCAATCAGATTGAAAAATCTACAAAAGAGGCCTAAAAAAGAAAGTTTCACCGGTGCCATTAAGAAAACACAGTATTTTGCCTGAGATTGCTAAATCAAGAGGTTGCATTTGCATTTTCCATTAAATACATAAAAGTCAAAGAAATAACTTGAATCACTACTGACACTTTGGCAAAAGTTAACTTTGGTTTGTGCTATGTTAAGGGCAACAAGTTGAAACTAATTTTAACCTATCAGGAGAGAAATACTACACAGTGCATTTCCAAACACTAATTTTCTCAATGTAGCTGGGCATCAGAAGCCTTAATTTAGCAAAATATAGAAAGACCACAAAAAGCAAGGGACAGAGCTCATGATGTAACAAACACATTATTTCTTTCTTTCTTTTTTGGGGGATGGAGGTCCAGCCCTTCTTCGCATATGCGTGCCACTTTTTTCTTGCAATACCGGAACAACTTTACTGCACCTGAGTATCCGGGTTTCAGTTCAACAACATTTATTAAACGGAAAATCTATTCTCGTGAACAGGAAAATACTCACTAAAGAAGAATAGCAATTCATGAAAAGCACAGATGGAAATGAGAAGATGGAGTGTGAATGGAAAATGAAAAAAAGATACAACCTGCAAATTTTATAACAGTTACAATATCATCATATGTTTACTTCTTTGTCTGTGAAGGCAGATTTCAAATTCTTCACACAAAAGCACACATGCATGCATTTGACAAAATGATTTTTCTGAAGAAATAATGCATATGGAATTCTAATTTCCTTCTTAATATAAGTGCAGATTCCAGAAGCTGGAATCCAACAGTTGTACCTCTTTAGTTTTTTCTCTGTATCCAAAAATACATTCCATAACAGATCATATTTTCATTCCTTGAACTGCAAAGTAAATTACTGTTTTTCTGGGCATTTCTCTCCCATAATGCATTAAGCAAATCACCCTTTACTTTAGCAGCTGCATCTCAAAGAAACCAAATGATCACTGTTCATTTTGGAATGGAACCATACGGAATGATTCAAATCCATAAAGAACATGCAATGTAAACATTTTTAAATGCATATAATATAAACACCTTTTACCCGTTTAGCTAGAGAAAAGATGACATTTTCACTTACACTGCAAAATTAAACACGGCCCATCTAGCGAGTCAAGATATTGATAAATTACACTATAAAAAGAACTGCGTTTGGCCCACTCTTTTAAGTAAACATGATTTCAAATAAACTGAGATTTTTCTCTACTATGAAGTTAATAAAGGTATCTTTAATAATATCCAACAACACTGGATATGGAATAAGCCAACTTAATAGGTTTGTTCTCTTAAAAATTGAATCCTGGCACTAAATAACAATAACAATAACAATAACAAATGCTTCCTAGCGCTGAAACACTTAGTGGGTGACTTCTTACATTATTCCCAGCCATGACCATGCAATCAGTTGTAAAGCAGATTCATATTCTGTATTGATATATTAAAATGAATTGTTTTGCATTTTGCTCTGCATATACATTTTTTTTATATTTTTATTTTATTCATTACTTAAATTTATTATAGCCACAGAATTCCAGTGGACTTGTGCAAAACTGAAATGGCCAAGTGGTCTAGGCAGATTAATACTTTATACTAAAATTTGGTACGGTACAAAAAAAGAAAAAGATCCATAACTGACAATTAAAAATTCCGCACGTAGAAGATTACTATAAATGTTGATTTGGAATAATTTCATATGACTAACTCATGTCACTCTCCAAGACTTTCAAAGGCAGAAATTAGTATTATTCAATGTATCACATTATAAAAGACATCACTGTTTCATCAACCTCAGTGGACAAGGAATACTGAAGTATTTGCTGACCAAATACAACTATCCAAGATTTTTCCTGCTTCATCTAAGTTCCCAAATATTGCCCTTGCTATCCACATCCAAGGGTGTCTTTCATTATTGTCTATGAACATGAATGGATCATTGAGTTTATGGACTTACATAAAAAAACAAGCTACTGAATATAAACAGGTAACAAATCCCACACTCACTCACTGATGTTGTTACCTAGTTGGGAAATGAAACATCTGCAAGCAAACTACCAAGCACAGGACACCAAAAAGTCCACAGTTTAACACTGAGCTGCAGGTATTCTCTTCTATTCAAACAAGAATGCACTAAAAGCTTGCATTTTTCCAATCCATCCTGTCCTCTAAGTCATCTATTTATGTAATATAAGCACAATAAAATCCTTTTGGAAGCTGGCTGAATAAGCAAATGAAACAAGGAGGGAAATCTAATTGAGAGCATAAAAGAATTAGTTTGTTGAAAATGACAATATAAAAAGACCACCTACAAGGACGGAAGAAGCATTTGAGTGATGCTGTGAATTAGATGAACTTTTGAGGAAAAACCAGATGACCTGTGCTAGGGAAAGACATGAAAGAAGGATACATAAATGCCGGAATAATATTGGTATCAACAGGAGAGTTGCCATCTTTTATGGAAATGTGCGCATTCTGATGAATGAAGAAAACCAGCTGGCCAGACTTTTGTGTTTAAGTTAGTGTGGACTTTTTCTTGCATCCCATGACAGAGAAGAAAGAAATGTGAGCTGTGTAAAGATAAACATTAGCCAATCTGAAATGCTATGGCTTTCCTCTTCAAGAATTCCTGGAAACTATTTTTGAAGGCTGTAAGAACATTATCTGAATTCCCAGGTTACTAGAGATGGAAATAGGAACAGAATACTATAATAATTGGATGTACTTTAAAATTTGTTGAAGATCTTCTATATCAGGGGTGGGGAACTATGGCCTTTTTATGACTTGTGGACTTCAACTCCCAGAATTCCTGCTGACTCAGGAATTCTGGGAGTTGAAATCCAGAAGTCATAAAGGGTCCATAGTTCCCCACCTCTGTTCTAGATGGTGGTCTAGAAATGAAATGAAGCCACCAGTCAAACCATTATGAGTTCTGCATTTTTCTTCACATGACTGGGGACTTATGTTAGCTACTTTATTTTGAAAGTCTCTGATCATTTGAAGAATAAAGTATGCCATGTAAATATGTTTGTTTCAATATTAAATCATGCTTAAAATGTATATTTATAAAAATATAAAAAGAAAGCTAATATTCAGTTCAACATACTTCTATAGAACTATACTTCAGTAAATTGCAGCTAATTTGCTAAATCCTCTTGGTTTTCCACCACCAATCCCTGTTCACAGGCATTGGCTACCTGGCCAGCAGCAGAATTAGAATTCCTCTCCGTCTCTCAACCAGTATCAGCTACAGACACTTCAATTTGCACTGAAACATATTGTGAATGAAATTGATCTTCACCAATGACAGACATTTGCTGATTCTATTGTTTAACCTGGAGGCTACAGTTACCCAACAGTAAGGATAGCCAGCCTTGTATCCTAAAAAATATATCCATCCAATGGTGAAAGATCAGAGAATTTTTTTATTTATTTTGTCAAATTTATAGGGTTGCCCATCTCACACAAAGTGATTCTGGAAAGCATATAATAAAACCAGCAATTAAAACTTTCCATAAAATCAATTAAAACCAATAAACATAAGTACAGCATTCCCCAGGTTTGCTGGAAAAAAAATTAAATGCTTTCTGGAAGGTCACAAGGTTTGGGGCTAATCTAATCTCAGGAGGGATGACAGTCCAGAGGGCGGAAGCCACAGCAGAAAACTCTCGTCTCTTAGGTCCCATCATCTCCCTCCCTTGGAGATAGGACCTGCCACTTGCCTTCCTGCCAAATCTGATGGGATGGGTAGTTGTAATAGGGAAGAGGTTCTCTCTCAAATAACTTGGCTTTACGCCTTGTAAGGCTTTAAAGGTCAAAATGAATGTCCTGAACTGGACTTGGAGGCAAACATGGGAATTGTGGACCAAATTATTTGGAATGTAAACAAAGTAGGCAGAATCTGCACTCCAAACAGGTTTCCAAGGTGCTGGAACGGCAGTTCCCAAAAGGCAAAAAAGCCAGCAAGAATTGTATTACTGTCCAACCTAATTATAATATAGTTATAGCATTTTGCTATAAATACAGTACAATACAATACAGTACAGTACAATACAATACGTGTGGGAGGGCTTTAATCTTGTCTCAAGATTAAAGATAGGTGACATTTTTAATTACTGTATCTACACCTAACAATTAAGAGGGAAGCTCCAACGATCACAATGGATTAGATGTTGCAAAGTGACAAGGTTAAGATTTCTCTTTTTTTTTCTGGAGGGATTTTATTCATTTATTTAACTGTGTAAACATCCTACTAGGATTATAATAGTTTATTTTTTTCCCCACTGTGATGGAATCTCTCTGGGGAAGTCAAAGAAGAAAAATGACCATTGCAAAAGAAACATTAAGCCAGGAGAGATAGGGGAAGCCTAAGAAAGAAACGCAGAGCATCTCAAACTCAATT